CTGTGGTCAGGCGGTTTAATACACAAATTTCAACTATGGGCTGCTCCTGCGTGAGAAACTGCTTGACACCACAGTCATGTAGGTGCATGATACAAAACACTGGCAACACTGAGGACCAGATAATTACCCTCGGTTACAAGAAAATATTTTTTTCTTAACACTAGAGAATGCCCAATGGTGTGGTAAATTTCATTAAGAAATTCCTGTACTGTACTTGTAACAACATTTACAATAAATAAATAAAGTAATGCTTTAAGACTCACGAATAGTGTTATCCAGCATCTCAGAAAATTTTCTGACATTTCTAAGCCAACTTAAAATATTTCAATACTTTTCCATACCTTTCAGCAAGGTTTTTTATAACTTTTCCCCATTTTTTTGTATTATTATTTCCTGTGATTATCCAGCTTGTGGACACCCTGCCTTTATATCTTTAACCATTTAATCTACTCAAGTAAATAGGTTCCTGTATAACCAGCTTTTTGTCTTTTACATTGTCAACCTGCATCTCACAAGTGTGACAGTTTCAATCACTCATACCCCTGAGCAGCAAGTTTCAGCAATTCTTACCTAAAACCAGTTGATCCTCACTTGCATCTTTCATACTAGCAAACAGCCTCCAATCTACCTTTCCTACCCGCAGCCGCTTCCAAGCCGAGAGCCTTTTCATTGGGAGACACTCCATTTCCAGAGGAGGGTGACATGCTTGAGGGTGGAGTGGTCAAGGAGGAGAAAGAGGATGAAGCAACACCCATTTCTTCTTCAACTTCCACATGTTCTTTCTCCTTTTCTTTCTTGGCCCAAGCCTTAAGGCACTCATTGCTGCAGAGTTCTCTCCGACGACCAGAAGACGTTTCACACTTGACTGGTGTCGACCGGATAACATTGTCACAGTTGGCACACGTGCCCTGTAAATTAAAAAAGAAGTTACCCATATCATGAAATTATTTCCTACACAAAACCATCAATATTTATCAAAACCAAAGACAAAAGATCAGCTAGAACTTTAAAGCCTCTATGTACTATGACAAACAAATACAGGGGGTCCCCGACTTACGAACGCCCGCCGATACAAACAGGGTTAAACTTGAAATTTGCAGTATTTTATTTACCTGATGACTTATTTTTTACTTTCATTTACTGTATTTTGTCATTCTATTTCTTCTTTTGTCTTAAATTAAGTGATTTTAGATGTATATAAGGACTTAGACTATGATATAATGGGATTTTAAACATAGTTCTGTAAGTACGGTATGCACATGGCATGTGTTCCGACTTACGTACAAATCCGACTTAAGAACGTCCTCAGGAACAGAACCCGTTCGTAACCCGGGGACCCCCTGTAAAGTGTCCAATACAAATTGTTATCTATACAGTACAAGAGTAAAAAAAAAATTCTCAGTCAAACTGGATAATATAATACAATAATGTGATTATTCTCTTCACAATTTTCATTTTTCCTCACCTTATAATCCTTACCAAAACTACCATGGCTTCAAAACTGTGAATGAAGGCTAATTCCTGTAACTAACCTTCATAAGGGCTTTTCTGTATTCCGAGAGGCACATTTCCGAGCAGAATTCTCGTTTTCCTGAGCTTGTAGGAAACACATACTTCAGTTGCGATTTTACCTCAGAACACCATGTGCAAGTGCGTGGGTTTTTTGGTGGCCGACCTGGACCTGGAAAAAATAAATAAAATAAAATAAAATCCTCTCTTGAGTGCAATAAAAATTCAACACATCAGCTTAAAATTAATATTCATATCTCAGTGGCCTTGTGTATTCTATAATAAAATATAAAGTGTAATAAATTATTTTTCACCGTCATCACTTCTTTATGGTTATTTTCCACTTTGTGTGGGTAAACCTCATGGCAGCTCTCTCTTGCATATAAATAACTGATGTTTTAATATCAAACCTCAACACAATCAATAGTCAATACAATATTTAACAATAACAGGGTAGTCAATGATTACCTCTGGGAGTTGCAACCCTGCCTTGCCAGCTAATAGAGAGCCTGGAAGTCCTACATATAATGCTTGGTTCCCACTGAGTAGAAGTGGCTTGGTGATGGGATAGGCATTCAGCTGTGAAACTTACCTCAAATTTTCCTGATAGCAGCCAGGAGAGAGGCTGTGAGAGACCATGCAGCCTTAAAAGCTGCCATCAGGTAAACACAGTTAACCATTGCAATTGTGGAAACTGACCATAAAATAGTGACGGTGAGGATGACCAAGAGGCAAAGTACATGTATGTACCAAAGAGCTTTTGCAGATGAAATATCTATTTTTTACAGTAATGCATTATCTTTTCACCCTATACTGATAACCTTAGTTCAACTTAAATGCTGAACATTACTTGGAAATTTCACAAAAGTATACTGTATGATGAAAGTGCACTACATACTGTATATCCATTATAAACAATGCATGCAATATTTTCCAAAATACAGTACAGTACTGTACAGAAATTGTACAATATTAAAGTACTACCTCGAATCCAATGTCTGAAAGTAAAATACGAAAAACCTTAAGGCTATTTTTTTTAAGCCCATTGACAATAAAGTTCCCTAAGTTGTAAATGTGATATGAAGAGAGATAGATAAATGCATATTGGAACCTCTCTAATCCAGAATTCTGTGGAATGGCACCAGCTGTAGTCCAGACAATTTTAAAAATGCTGGTCTCACCATCGGTGGTCTGGAAAATTTTTAAGATGGCTGTCTTGAAGAGCAATCTCAATACAGTACTACAGTATTCACACAATATTATTCTAATGTAATTTATATGCATTTATGTGGTGAGCGAGGGATGTTGCTTCCTGAGTCAGACTTTGTTATGCAAGTAAATACTATACTGTACTGTACTATAAAAATTCAGGGCTGGCACTCAACCTCTCTCGATTTATTTTTTTTATATAGACATTATTTTCCCTTAACTCATTATTGCTTAACACAGCACTTTTTAGGAATGTATCTACTGCACTGAATAAAGAATTACAGTACTGCATAAAATGCAGGTATGAGTCAAGAATTTCCCTAAATCTTTACAAGACAATCATGGCATAAATATTTTGTTGTATAGTACTATTGGTCCAATATATAATGTCCCCAACTTACCTCTACCTGGTGTTGGCATCTTGTTGTAACTCTCTCAATGTGTCACCATCACTGAGCCTCAGTTGTCTCCAACTGTCTCACCATTACTAAGCCTGTAAGATAAAATACACATCATGAACATCATTTCATTACTGCACTTGGTAGTACAGGTATAACAAAAAAGACATTGAAATAAAATAAACTTCATAGATACTACAATCCATGAAAGATACTTCTGTACAAGACCTTAGATTGGGCACCTTCTTCCCCAGATGCCCAAGAATATGGCTCCCTATTTAGAATTAGTGGATGCAACATATAATGAATGCACATACAGTACTGTACAATGTACGCCAGTATACGTTGCACAGGTTGCCCTCATTTGTCCTGACTTCACAAGCACCAGATTCACATTGCAAGGTTTAGTCTTAACTACTCAAATGTTCATATATTACTGGCAAAGGTTCACACTTAATTTTTTTTTTTTAATTTGTACAGTATCCCTTCATCCTACAGTGGTCTATTCTTAATAAAACTCACTGGACACCACATTAACAAGAGTAGACAATGGTAAAAGTAGTAATATTTAATTAAGGACAGTAGTCCAGGTTATCCAGCTACCTAACAAAAAATATCTAAGAAATCTTATTTCTTATCTCAAACCTAAAACAAATTGGGTGGAGGAATACCACTTTTTGTATTCGAGTGTTTGTCCCTAGTTTTTCCAGTAAATACACTGCTGTCACCCGCTTGATTCACGAGTGAAGCCATGCTGCACATGACAAATACAAAATACACCAACCTATTGACGCTGCACAAACTTTCCATATGAACTGTCATTTCCCGACACAAACCTAACAACCTAAAGTAATAATAAAGTTCCATCCTAGGTCGGGTACAGTACATTGTTTTCTTGGTTTGTGTGTACAGCATTACCAAACTAATGTCAAGTAAAATAATATTATTATAGTAAGAAATTTACAAATCCCACCTACTAAACTACTACAGGATATCAATATTAAGTGTCATTTTGGGGATAATAGTAATAAAATAAGAATAATTTAGCATTATCATTATTATCAATATTGTTATTGTACAGGTACTCCTCCACTTACGACCTACTCGACTTACGACCGTCGCAGTCGTACCAAATTTTTTTAAAATTAAGTATTTTCGAGTCCCGGAGTTAGTGATTGCGCTGTGTACTGACAAAATTTTCGTTTGTAATTCCCTTTAAAATAGCTGGCAAGCTTAAAGGTGAGAGTTCTGTGATGCTGAGAAGAAAAGGAGACACTCATTTTAGATTTTCTATGTATTATTTTCGCATTTTCGACTTACGACCTGGATTTTGGTCCCTAACCCTGTCGTAAGTCGGGGACTGCCTGTACTTTCAATAGTTATTAATACAGTATAACAATATTTTTAAGGTAAGAAAAAATAATTGATAGTCATTATCTACTACAGTATAATTTTTTTTTGGCAAACTTGGTGGTTTCATTTTAGTGAGTATGAAACAGAATAACATTATACAGTACGGATATATGTTTATGAAACGTCAGATGATAACACCTTCTGATGCTCACAAACAAAGATGACGGCATCTTTAACATGGAGGCAGCAGCAGTATCTTTCTTTACAAGAAAAACTTGAACTGGAAAAGTAATATTCCTCCATCCAATTTGCTTTTTCTTGAGGTAAAAAATAAATTTTCTTCAATAGATATTGTTTGTTACGATGCTGATTAACCTGGACCACTGTCCTCAAATATTACTAGTGAAGGAGCTGTACCTACACGTATGTCAAGTTGTTCGATTATGCAGACAAGAATCATCTGAACCCAATGGTTTCAGCATATTTTTGGGGTTTGGGATCTTTTCAGTTTCATGTACATGTGTCCAATTTTTTTTTTTAATATGTTTTCAAATGTACTGTAGATTTTCCTGCCGATTTCAAAAATATAAATCTTTTGGGGAGAATTATTTTATAAAAAGATGTATTACAGTATTTTTATTATATTTTTTTCTCTTGAAAATTAACAAATATTAAAGAACATAAAGATTTACATACAGTATTATATAGTAGCTACTACATATAGGTATATAAAAATACAGCTCCTCCCCAACTTACGACGGGGTTAGGGACCCAAATCAAGGTCGTAAGTCGAAAATGCTTAAATAATACATAGAAAATCTAAAATGGGTCTCTTTTACTTCTCAGCACCACAAAACTCTCACTTTTAAGCTTGCCAGCCATTTTAAAGTGAATTACAAACAAAAATTTTGTCTGTGTACTGACATTGGGACTCGAAAATAAGTAATTTGACAAAATTTTGGTATGACTGACGCAGGAAGTAAGTGCAGGTGGTCATAAGTCGAAAGTTTGGGAGTAGCTGTACTGTGTACCATACAGTATACAGTAAATATGTATAATGTGGAAATTCAGAAACGAGATTTTGTGGTTTGATGAACCGCATTTTTTTTATAATAAAAATACATTGATCTGTTGTAATTTTATATTCTGATTTTGAAAATAATTTTTTTTGAGAAACTAGTAGAAAGTAATGAAAATGATGAAACAAGAAATACTTATGCCCCTGAATAAAGATAAGTAGCTAGCCTGTTAAACGTAAACAAACAATGAACAGTTTTATTTGCCGAATGTCTATCATTATGACATACACCAATACCCTGTCATATTTCTCTGGGAGCTTTACCAAAGAAAAAAAAATCAGATTTTCTTTTATCATATCACTTTATTCAGCAGCAGTTACATGACTTATCAATTACTAACTATTCCAAGACTCATTTTTCCAATAAATTTACCTTTATATGTACAGATATAATTTAATCATATTAAGATTATACCTGAACGGCACACAATACAGATGAGATGACAGCATTCCTTTACTAGACTTTTAATATGTCTGTTTTAATCAATAAAATATTGCTGTGGAAATTTGTCCACGTGTTGGTAGTTTTTTAGATTAACACCAAAAGGAAATGATAGAATTGTACAAAACTTTGTGGAAACGTTAATTACAATCTATTGAATAGATAAATGGAAGCGAGATTCCATTCAGCATCGTTAGGTATGTTTTAGAAGGGTTTTCTGATAAGTTAGGTTACTTTAGGTTAGATAGGTTAGGTTTTGTTCTAATAGGTTCTATGCATTCTTATTTCCATTTATCTACTGTATTTAATAGATTGTAAATTATTATTTCCACAAAGTTTTGTCCAATTTCATCAACTCCTTCTGGTGTTAGTGTAAAAAAAAACCTAACCTAACCAACAATCGGACAAATACCCACATTCATAAAATATAAATCCTGTGGGAAAAACAATACACATAAATTTACAGAATTAAATTATCATTATGAAGTATCACTATCTTCTCCGCAATAATCCCTCTGGGTGACTCGATGTTGTAGCTCATATTGATGGCAGATAATACCATACTGCGTGATACAATCTAACTAGAGCCTTCCTGAACAAGATAACACATTGTTACTGATTATCCGTAAACCAACAAAATATTGAGTACTTCGTCAAAAGTTAGGTTTAATAAGTTTGCGTCTTCTTTGATTTGAGAGAAATTTGCAATATACAGTAACCTACATCCTATGTGGTGCATTCTATATGGAGCAGCACTCCTTCCCATTGCCCATATGTGTGGCTGTTCACAAACACCAATTTTACCGACTTATATTTCTATAAAATTTCTCTTTACTCTTGCTGGGATATCAGATACATTGTTCTTAACATGAAATTTAGTTTAAAGAAATTTCATTGGCTTCTCAATAAAGGGGACCTGAGGAAATACCTGTGTATAAAATTATCTGCCCCAAGATGTGGTAAATGTACAAGGGTAATAACATGACTAGGAAAGACATTTCTGGGATGTAGTACATTCATATAATTCCAATGACAACACAATATTTCTAAAAGTTCATGCCAATTCTGGATAGAGTGCATTATGTTGAAAGACAGTAAAGATGTGCGTGGAGGGTGGCCTAGTTGTAAGGTGAACCAGCGGGCAGCGATGTGACTTACAGAAAGCATGCCAAGTTGAATACCTCTTGTTGATGACGACAATGGTGTCATTAGAGTCAGGGGTCATAATATGAGACTGCCGGTCACCACACCACCCTGGTAACACTTAGAGTTTCCCGCTTCCCTTCCATTACACAACTCAGCGCCAGAGGCAGTGGTCTATTAAGTGCCTAATCTTTCCCTCAGTTACCTCTATAACTTCGCTACCTACCTGGTAAACCTCCTAGGTCAAGTCTTCTCAGCCACACATGTACACACACACACCAATTTGTCGTAACGGTCATAAAAATTCCCTAACGATAAAAACAACAAACACTAGCCGCCATATTGTTTAGGCGTCTGATGCTTCTTGACGGTAGAAAACGGTGGAGTGACAGGGACCTCCGGGGGACACTCCTATTAGTCCTCCCTTTCATTAATTGATTGCATTGATATATAACTTTCATTGTGCTTCTACCACACCCTATTCTTGCCTTATATAAGGTGAGGCAAGATGACTCTAATAATTTTGTCAATGGGTACGTATATGCAGTCAATAAATATACATCAAAATAGATAAATACTTATTCAGAAAAACCCCCACTAGTTCGCATAAGTTCATTACGCACATTCAAATACTGTACAAACACTCTACAAAGAGTGTAGGCATACAAACAGTAGTCAATAATAAGACAATCTGAGCAAGAACAGCCCAAGAAAGGCATTATAATTTTATTTCCAATGTAATATATGCCTAAACGCTCAACAGTCTATTGGAAGGGTAAGCACACTAGCAGACCCCAAGAGTTCATTTACACGATCAGTTACCAAGTATGGTGTCGCGCACGCCTCGGATCATGGGGTCGGACCATTGTTTAGTGGACGGTGTGTTTACACCAAGGAATATAACTGCCACACCGCCGTTACCGGTCAGTGTGTGGTATCGTGATAAGACTGCTGGGCAAGAGGTTCATGGCTTCCAGACAGACGAGTCGGCGACGGACGGCCGCACTGTTGTGTGTTTTGGCCGTACTTGGATAAAGTATGTCTAAATATTTCCAGAACAGATACAAATATGAGGGGACTCTTTAAGTGGCAGAGACCCACGTAGGTGGCCTCGCAACTATTAGGCTCCCACACGTAACTGCCCGGGAAGGGTTGGTGGTTCAGTGTTGCCGACCACTGCTCGAGCACGGCTTCGTTACCATGCTTCGATAATATGCCCCGAGACTTATCGTGTAAACGAGCCCTAAGATTTACATTTTTGTTTTGTTTTAGGTGTAGGGTCCTGAATCTTGTAATCATAACTCAAGTTTATTGCTGCCAAAGATGTCGGAAGACTGATTTCTAGCTCCATGGTCATCAAGAGGGATGATGCTGGAAATGTTATTACCCTGGCATGGGTCAAACAATCTCCTGTGCTGCTCACTCCTGCTCTATCGTAGTTGATAACCATACTGTGATGAGGCTTATTGTAGATCCTAAAGTTAAACTCAAAACTAAATCCACCCATTGGTAATTTGTGAAACATTTTGTTAAAATATCATAAATTAGGACCGATTGTGAAACAATAAGGTATTTTCATATTTGTTATACAAAAGAAAATAGCTCGCATAATATAAACAAGCTAATTAATTCGTCAACCCGGATAACATAGTCCTCAGCCACCAAACTATGTCATGTAATATGTGAGAGCCAAAACAAAGACATACGAGTCATTCTTATTAGTCTTTTAGTGACCACTTTATCACCTGCTACAACATGACAACACAAGGTAATCAGAATGTGGTTCGTGAAGACTATATATAATTAAGAAGTGCTTAAGTCAGGTTTGTTTGATAATATTTGTCCACTTTAACGAAGGAAGAGTAATGAATTGTTTAAGATTCAACGTCACGAAATACATAAGGATGCACCTAGGTCGTACTAACAGTAAAGATGCATATTACATGTCCCAACGGAACGGAGACCAAAATCTGAAAAGGACCGGGATATGTAGGTTGACAACGAACCAAAGTACACGGATCATTGTGAGGTGAATCAAGCGACTAAGCTAGCGAGTCCCTCGTTACGTTCTTCAAAAGTGAAGCTTATACTATAGACGGGCAAAGGGTGACTTATAGAAATTTATAAACACATCAGAAGCTATTAATCAGTCGAGTATCCATATCTGGAACTGGCTGATGCCAGCCCCACTAGTCACAACTTAAGGTTGAAGATGCCACAAGTTATAAAAAAAAATATTATGTTAGGTGCAAACAATCAAAGAGCGTTGTGATGACACAGTGTGTGTGACCTCATTCAAGGCCAGACTTGACCAACACTGGCGTAAGTACAGATACACTTTGGAGCCAGTACTTGCCAACAGTGCGTAAACGACCGCCCAATCAGGAGGATGAAGTAACCGACCACTCAAGCGGTTAACAAGCTGACAGTTGTAAAAAAAGAGCGAATCTAATTACACACATTACTACATGTGTAGTAAATTATCTGTTCATTGCCTCTGTAGGTCGTTGACACTACAGTTCCAGAAAACTAACTGGAAATCATAAATTCATACCTGGAGCGGTATCTTGTAGTCCCCCCCCCCCTCCAAAAAAAAGAAAATAGTCTGGCACTTTTAGGGTAACCTAGATGCTTATTTAAGCTCGTAGATGCTCTATTATTGATTTTCCCGAAAATTCGTGAATGTAATATTCATCTACAGTGTTTTGTGAAACTTTTTGGTTCTTATCTCATACAGATATAACCTTAAACTGGTTTGAAAAATGGGGCAATAATCGCTGTACCTGCCTTTCAAATTCTATCACGTTCAACCACATTACAAGCCCCATCATTCACCTGACCCCAAGGGTAGTCGGCGACATACTGACGAGTTTGCCTTGCGCTCCTCTGGTATAGACAGCACAAACAAGAAATACGAACTGTGTAATAGGTGGCGCACGCGTAAATAAAAAACAAAAGACTATCATAAAGTTGGAAAACATGCGCTTAAAGTAACACCAAAGTGGTTAATTTAAATCATTAATATGATTTGAATCTACTTTGAAAAACAAGCTTCAGGAGTGCAATAATCATTAAGTTGAGTCTGTGTCCTTATGAGTGTTAGTAGTCATTCGTCCTCAAAGTGTAAATCTTGAGTAAATTTATAAGAGTCGAGGCGTAAATGACAATTGAAAACATAAACATGGGGTAAGTATAGTATCTCTTCGTCCACATACAAGGACTCAAGAATTGTATCACTTGTATTTGGTACATGGAAGGGAATGTCTTGTGAACCCAGCCCCCTCCTCCGATGTTGTGTCTGGCTGAGGATCTGTCAATAAAGGGATGCTGGGGAAGAGAACATCATTTCAACGTCTTGTACCTCACACTATAGAGCGACAAGCTAATTTCACGTGGGTTTCAGTTAATGAGAATTATTGGTGTGTTGTAAGAGTGCTACTAGCATTATAGGGAGATAGAGTGAAGGGGTGGGTAGCAGCCATGTCTAGCTTTAGGTTGGTTCAAACCTCGAGCATATTTGTACTTTTGAGCCAGTATTGTACAGTATACCTAAGTGAAAGATGGGCTAAACTGTGGGTATATGTAGGTACTGTTGTCAACATGCACTTCAAATTGAAAATTATGTATGTGTGCGTGTGTATGTCTGTCTATCATTCCATATTATATCATGAGTTAACTGTGGATCATATTGATATTAGTATGATATATTGGTAAGTGTTGGCAAAGTGTTAGTTGTTATCTCTGATTGATTATGGCAGGTGCTAAAATCCTTTAAAGAAGATAGACCCTAGGAGTATAATCAATATTTTGAAGTGAAACTTTCACATGCATCTCCATGGATGTTGTTATCACAAGTTTATTGGTGGAAAAGGATTTTTTTTTTTATAGTTTAGAGATATGACCAACTTAATTCAGTTGGCAATTGGACAGAGCTTTGACAAAGAGGGAAGTTGGATCAAAATGTATAGAAATGTGTATCAATATAAAATATAAATAGTGATTATTTGTCAGGTCATGGACCTTCACTTACTTCTGCTATTTGTCTGGCATTCATTCTGTTGGGATGCTGGAAAGTTTTAAAAGGAGGTTAGATAGATTCATGGATGATAGAGATTGGTTGTAACTCGACATGAGTTGCCATACGCACACCAACCGGCCTTTTGCAGATTCTTTATGTTCTTATGACTGGACAAATAACCCCTGTGTATGGCAGAGGTCATTTTTTCAGTGATAGACTTATTTCTGTTATTTTTACGCCTGACTGGTTGAGGTTGTTGACTCTTATGACCAACCTAACCTAACCATGTTTGCAAGTGACCGAATTCAGTCCTGGTAATCATGGTCATCAGACATCAGTCATCAGCCTCAACCAGTCAGAACGAAAGGTGGAAAAATAACAGAAATAAGTATGTCACTGAACAAATGACCTCTGCCATACACAGTGGTTATTTGTCCAATCATGACAACATTAGCATCATCATCTTCGACCAATCAGAATGAATGCCAGACAAATAGCGAAAGTAAAGTAATGTGACCAAACAAGTAACCACCTCATAGAAAAAATATTTCAAGTACAGTATTTGTGATCTTGTAGCTAACCATAACCATGCTTGCTTAATAAACTCTAAAAAAATGAATAGTTAAACTTAATTTTCAATGCATAGTCTTCTTGATGCAGGTATCTCATCAAGCCTTAGAGAAAGATAGTTGCTGTAGAGGTATTGTGAAATCTAGTGGTAGAAATAAAAAAATTGAGTACCTGTATGTATTGGTTTGTTAACATTGAAACTGAATTTAATGTTTCATAATCTCATAGGTTATATAGATTGGGCTATAAGATTGGGAAGAAAAGGAAAGGTGAAATTAAAATTGTATTAATTTACCACTATGTCGGTGGATTTTGATTATTGCAGCAACTTTTTTTCCCCTAAGGTTTGGTGAGAAATCAAACTGAAGAAAGTCTGCACATGGAAAGGTGAATTTTGTTTTCTTATTGATTTAACTTTTGTGGAGTGTCTGCATTCTCCAGGAAAGTTTAGAAATAAGGTGTCTGATGGACAACAGTAGATGATGTGTTTATTTGTGACAGCAGAGAATAAGATATTAAGCTTAATGTAACAAATTAAAGATTACATAATACAGGTAAATTTTAGTACAGGGGGCCCCCCCAAATTCGCGGTGTTAGGTTCTCAAAATGGTCGCGAATCGCCATTGTACTTGCGTACAAAGAAATGTACTGTACGTACTGTATATATTCCCTTTTTGGTTGCCCTTAGGACAACACACACACACACACAATCAAAACATACAAATAAACAATAATTGGAAAATCCTCTCAAAAATAATCAGAAACAAATTTATTAAAAAT